ATTGCAATATATTATTTATATATAACTCCTTGCCAAAGTTGCTTTTTTCCATGAATACCTTTCCATGGCTTTAGTATAGCACATTCTGCCATTAATAACATACCTGATGTTCTCATATTTGGATCTCATAATCCTCTTAATCCTTCATAGGATACAATGAACCTCCATCCAAATGGGATTCCTCCAAGTCTTTAGGACCATCCCTTGACTTGACTAAATCATCTAGCTTTTGGACTTTATTAATCTAACGTCCTATAAGGTCATAGCATCCTAGCTCCTTTTGAGGTTCCACTACACTTGAATATAGCTTCTTGTATTCACATTTTATTCACAAGGGCCATCTTTACAAATGTTATTCCAACATTTGATTATCCTTTATTCTACGTAGGCTACTTTTACTCCTTAGAATTATTTTTTTATATGATGAGAACACCAATTCATCCTTTGAATACACCCTTTAATTCCTTGATTTGTTCCAACTTTTATTAAAAGTAGCCCCAACTACTATTTCAAGGAGTTATGTTTTGATCCATATTTGATTTTTCAAAGTCATTAACTCTAGTCTTAAATTCATAAGCACCATCCTCAACCATATGAAGATAATTTTATAACTCCTTTACTATCTCAGAGTCTTTATCTTTCTGTAATCCTAACTATAGTTATTTACCATAATTACATTAGCCAATTTACTAAGTCAAATTTATATAAATCACATCCTCAACTCTCTAAGGAAAACCTTATACTTTTCCTAAAATCCTTAAGTCATTCCCTTATTGACCCTTTCTATCCATTATATTACCTACATATTCACATATGAACTTAAGTGGAGAGTTATGCCTTCTTGACATACTACTCCTCTAGGATAGACCCACTTTTGAGACCTTTTGATGCCAATATCAAGTAGTGATATACTTAACTACCAATAAGAGTTAGACTAAAAAATAGCTTCAATACCAAGTTATAAATGATAAAATTTTCCATTCTAGGGGGAGCTAAAGTTGACTTTTAAACACTTTACCAAGTTATCCACTTGTCCATCTGTGTTCACTCTAGCCCTAGACTCCTTAGTGGTTATCATTACCCACTACATGGGTATAGCTGTTAAGACCCCCAACAAGATCAAGATTGGAAAATGCAAAAAACAAAGAGAAAAGCTAGTGAAAATGAAGAAGCCTTAGATTGGTGTTGATTCAAATTGTGGAGAAATGGAACAAGGCTAACCTATATATACTATAGGTTGATGAAGCTCCACCACTCTTGGATCGAGGACGGCCTAAATATAGTTGAGGTCGAGGAGGCACCACATCATCATCAGGAATGTGGCTCGAGACTCAGGAATCATATGGAAAATCGAGAGTTAGGAATAGGGAAGTGTCTCGAGAGTCAGGAATGTGGTCTGCAAGTCAAGAATCCGGCGAGAGTCAAAAACGTAGCAAGAATTGGGGGATTCCTGACAACACACCCTCCTCAAGAACGAGTGGAATGAGAATGTGAATGAGAACGAAGAGGAGGATGAGATGGGCGGCGAGGGACGGGGAATGGAGAAAAAGAATGAGGACTAGGACGAGAAGGATAGCGGCGGTGGAAGTCCTGAACAAGGTCAGAAGAATGAATCAGGTTGTCCGCAGGTTCCCAAGTGCATTCTTCAGGTCCATAACCTTTCCAGTCGACCAGATAGTAGAGTTTAGACCGTGAGATCTTGGAATCAAGGATGTCCTAAACCTCGTACTCAGACCCATCCTCAAGTTGCACTGGTGGAGGCAAAGGAATGACCCGATTTGGAATAGGATTGGGAATATAAGGCTCAAGGAGAGAGGAGTGGAAAACAGGGTGAATTTGATATGAGGAGGGAAGTGCAAGGCGATAAGTGATAGGATTAATGATAGCAGTGATAGGGAAAGGACCGAGGCATTTGAAATCGAGTTTGGGACATAGCCTAGTGGTGGAGATATTTCACCTAAGGAGCCAGACTTTATCCCCAATATAGTAAGGGGGACAATCCTGACAATGGACATTGGCAAATGTTTTGTGAGATTCCTAAGCACAATAGAGGTGGAAGGAGATGGAGTTGTGGATTTCCTGGAGGTTGGAGACAAATGCCTCAGAGCGGGGATTTGAACGAGAGGATTCGGATGGAGAAGGAAGTGAGAGATTGAATTGGGGATTTCGGCCAGAGTTCGCAAAAAAAGGGGAAACTCGAAGAGAGGAGTGAACAGAGTTGTTATAGGAGAACTCAGCAAGGGGAAGGATATTGAACCAGTCATCCTGATGATAGTTGATGAAGCACCTCAAGAATTGTTCCAATTTCTGAATCGTTCACTCGAATTGTCCATCAGTTTGAGGATGATACACCGAAGAGAGGTTGGCCTTCACTCGAAGCAGCTGCAAAAACCGTTGCCAGAAATTAGAGATGAATTGAGGTCCCCGAAACCATATCTGTAGGAATCCCTTGAAGTCGGAAAATTTCCCTAAATACCAATTTTGCCATCTCCTTGCCCAAAAACTCCTTGGTACAAAGAAGTGTGCCATCTTTGTGAAGCGGTCCATCATGACTAAAATGCTGTTGAAGCCTTCAGAACTCGGAAGATCACTCAAAAAATCCATGGAGATGGATTCCCAAGGACCTGAAGGGACCGGGAGGGAACGAAGCAAACCTGAAGGAAGGTGGCGAGGTACCTTATTCCGGGCGCAAGTGTCACAGGAGGTAACAAAACCTTTGATGTAGTCATCCATGTGAGGCCACCAAAAGTCCCGTGCAACTAGCTCATAGGTTTTAGTAATGCCGAAGTGACCAGCAGCCGGGCTATCATGGCACACCATAAGGACCAACCTTTGAGCATCACCTTCAGGAACATAAAGCTGCTCCCCACGGTACAGCAAGCCATTTAAGAACTCGAACTCAAACTCGTCAAATTGCCAGTAATCGGGAGTCACTGGGTGTCTAGCTTGAAGATGGGGGAAAATGTCACTGGCGAGGTCATCGGATTGAAGATCGTTTCTGATTGCATCCATCAAGGAGGAGTCCTGAGGGGCCAGGGAAATTGCCATAACTTGAAGCTGATCAGGACCGAGGATAACTTGATCCTGTTGATCGAAGACAGAATTATCAGGCTTGAGACTGAGATAAGAGAGCCTTGAAAGAGCATCAGGAAGGCCTTGAAGCTTTCCAAGTCTGTACTTGATAACAAAGTCAAACCAACTCAAGAATTGTGCCCACCTTGCTTGACGACGGCTCAAAACTCGGGAAGTGGCAAAGTACTCGAGAATTTTGTGATCCGTCCAGACCATTGTTTGATGGCCCGCCCCCTCCAAGAAACGATGCCACTCTCCAAAGGAATCCATGATGGCAAGGAGCTCCTTGTTGTGGATTTCGTAATTGATCTCCGCAGGCTGGAATTTCCGAGAATGGAAGGCGACCGGATGAAATTCTTGATCTGCTCCGAGTTGAGACAACACAGCACCGATGGCAAAGTTGGAGGCGTCAGCCTCGATGAAGAAAGGTTGTGAAGGATCAGCATGGATCAAGACGGGAGTAGAACTGAAGGCCACCTTGAGTGTGTCGAAGGCTTGCTAGGCAGTAGCAGACCAAGAGAAGGGAACATCCTTGCAAGTGAGATGCGTGAGAGGAAGGACAATGTCAAAGTAGTGATCAATGAATTTGTGGTAGAATTTTGGTGAAGCCAAGGAAAACCTGAACGTCCGACATTGATTGTGGAGGCTCCCATTTGAGAATAGTCTTGACTTTGGCAGGATCCATCGTGATACCCTCAGGAGTGACAATGTACCCAAGGAACTCCACAGACTCCTGATTGAAGGAATATTCTCAAGCTTTGTGTATAGGCCGTGTTCCCGTAGCTTCACCAGCACCTTGTGCACATGCTCGTCATGCTCCTCCTGAGTTTTTGTGTAGATAAGGATGTCATCAAGGTAGACGATCACCATCTGATCAAGAAACTCCCGAAAGACGTCATTCGCCATTTGTTGGAAAACTGCTGGAGCATTTGTCAAGCCAAATGGCATGATAGTGTACTCAAAGTGGCCATAGCAGGTTCGAAATGCAGTTTTCTATTCATCACCAGGCCGGATCCAGATCAAGTTGTATGCTCCACAGAGGTCGATCTTGGTGAAGAAGTGGGCACTACCGAGACATTCCAACAGGTCCAAGATCAGGGGCAGCAGATAATGGTTCCAAATAGTCACCTTGTTCAAACCTTGGTAGTCAATGACTAGCCGCAAACTCCCATCCTTCTTCTTGACAAAGAAGATAGGCACTTCAACTGGGGATTGCGAATGCTAAATATACCCCGAGGCAAGGTTCTCATCCACATATTCTTTGAGGGCGTTAAGCTCAGATGGGGATAACCCATAGATAGGCTTCCACGGAGGTGACACTCCTTCCTGTAAATCAATGGGACAGTCATAAAGCTTATGAACAAGCAATACAGTAGCTTTTTTCTTGTTAAACACATCTCCAAAATCATGATACTTCTCAGGAAGACTGACAGGAGAAACATGCAAAGAAAAAAGGAAAATAGATTCTTCATGAAGAAGTTCTTTCATAGTGATTGTGGAGATAGAAGAAGGCGTACAACTAAATGGAATGATGAGACGAAGATACTATCCAGTGTAAGATGGAAGAGAGGAAAAAGAAGAGGGTGAAAACTTCGTAGAGTCAGGAATAAAACCCCAATTTGAGTTTAGGGAACTTTTCCTAATTCGGACTTGATGAACAGCAGGGGAAGCCGTGGGAGATGGTGATGTGGGCCGTGTTACGAACACGGCCGGGATCCCGGCCGTGTTCACCGTGTTTCACGAACACGGCCATGGGTCGTGTTCCCACGGCCGTGTTCGTGAACAGTGGTCCGTGTTAGTAACACGGACCACTGTTCAGAATATTCTCGTGCGGAATATTCTGGTTTTAGGGCGCACGGCATCACACGACAATCCAGCCAGGGCACACCATTTCAGGGCACAGCAGTAGCAATCCAAGGCAAACAAGCATGGCGCAGCAATCCAGCATACTGCGAAAGCATCCTTCTTCGCGATGGTGGGATGAGGTAAGTGTTCTTGAGAGCAGGGGGCATGGCCACAAATTATGGTCATGCAAATACTACCCAATGGTGAACAAACTGAGTGGTGTTGATCGTGTGCGAGCTCATCTGTTAGGAGAAGGCCCAGGCAGCAAGGATATTGTGAGTTGTCCTCTCATCCCAGGTAACAAGAAAGCGGATCTGCTCAATATGCAAAAGGTTATTGATTCCGAGAAAGGGGCAAGGGGGAAGAAACGGCCGAATGAATCTGGTGGTGCTTCTATGAGAATGGATGGCAATGTCCAAGGATTTCCACCGGTGGTATCATCCCAGTCAAGTGGAAGTGGCTGCAGTTCCCTGTTTTTTAGCAAACAGAGTCAAGTCCATATTGTTGATTCGATGGATCCTAAGCGGAAGAACCGAGTTGATGTGGCTATCGGAAGATTTTTCTGGAATGAACACATTCCATTTGTCAAGGCTCGGTCACCTTACTTCCTCAACATGATACAGGAAGTTGCCAGGCATGGTGTGCCTTATGCACCACCAAAATATGATGATCTCCAGGATAAGCTTTTGGTGAAAGAGAAACGATTCATTGACATTGAGATGGCGTCCTTGAGGAAGCAGTGGGAGCAGAGGGGTGCAACCATATGCGCAGACGGGTGGGTAGATAGGAGGAATCGGCATATCATGGGGCTTGTGGCATATAGTCAAGGACGAGGAGCCTTTTTGAAGGCTATCGACATTTCCTTAATAGGAAAAACAGCTGAAAATACTCTGCGCTGCTGGGAAGAAGGCATTAACATTGTAGGTGCAGAGAACGTTGTCATGGTTGTGACCGATGGGGAAAATGCAAACAGAGCAGCAGCAACACTTTTGCAACAGAGGTACCCGAAAATTCAATGGGCAGCATGTTTTGCCCATTGCTTGAACAATGCCTTGAAAGACTTTGGTGTACTTCCATGGATGGCAACACTTCTGGAGCGTGGAAAGTCTTTGGTGATCTTCGTTAGAAACCACTCTCATATAGTGGCACTGCTGGTGGAGTTTACTCACAAGCGATTGCTGCGTTATTGTGATACCAGGTTCGGCTACAACTTCATTATGATGGAGAGGCTGGTGGAGCTCTGAGAAGCTTTACAACAGATGTTCGTATGCCCTGCGTACAGAGCAAGGCCTGAGTCGAAGTCGAGAGCAGGAAGGGACAGTTATGCAACGGTTTTTGATGATAGTTTCTGGCAACAGGTTAAGGACATGCTAGAGGTGTCCAAGGATGTTATGCTACTTCTTCGTGTTGTGGACGGTGATATACCTGCGATTGGAAAGATATATGAGTGCATGAACAGGTTGGATGCAAGTTTAGAAGAAGGACAGTCAGATTATGGCAGGTACAGGGAACTTCATCAGATCATGTCTAATAGGTGGCATGAGTATCACTCGCTCATGCACTCAGTGGCGTACATGTTGGACCCCGAGTTTCAGGAGTATGAAAAGCATGCTAACAGAGAGGTCATGAAGGACTGGAATGCTTATCTACTGGCCATGTTTACATCCAGTGAGAGGGATGTGATACGTGATGAGCTTTTAACTTACCGGAGGATAGGAGGCATTTTCAACTCATATGATGCTAAGGCTGATCGCACTAAGAGGGGAGCTGTACGTTGGTGGGAGGACTATGGTTATGAAACTCCAGCTCTTCAGAAGTTGGCCATTCAAGTTCTAAGTCAGGCATGCTCGTCGTCCTCGGTGGAGAGATTGTTCAGTACTTTCGAGCATGTTTCTTCAAAAAAGAGGAACAGACTTACCATGGACAGGACAGCGGATCTGGTTTTTGTGGCTTGCAACACCAGGTTGTTAACCTGCAAAAATGATCGTGATTACGACAAGTTTGTAAGCTACAAAGTCCTGGAGACAGTTCCTCATCCTGAAGACGAGCTTGAGTCAGGACAGGAAGAGGAAGATGGAGATGATGTCGAAGATCGTGAGGTCGAAGATCATGAGGTTGAAGATGACGATGAGATGCAGGATATTTGAGTAGTTTAAAAGTGTGAAGTAGTTTATGTGCAAATAAAAATATTAAGAATAATATAATAAAATATAGCATATTCCTATAATAATATAATAAGAAATAGAATATAATTTTTAAATAACATATTCTTAGAATATTCAGTAGAATATTCGTGAGCCATCGTGGGCCGTGATTGTGTTCCATGTTCGGGTTCCTGAAATCTGAGGCTCGTGTTCGTGTTCCGTGTTCGTGTTCGTAACTATGGATGTGGGAGAGACAAGCTGTAATTCCTTCCAAAAAATCTGAGGCTGATATAGTTGGAACCAAGGGAGGCCAAGAACCACAAAGGAGGACTTGCTGTTAATGATGTTGAAGGCGATATCGGTGACAGTGGACCCGATGTGTACTCGAACGGGCAACGTTTCCCTAAGTCCAGAAGATGCAGACACAAAATGCCCACCAATGCCTTCAACCCTTAGATCCCGTATGGTAGGAGAAAGAGGAATGTGATGTCGGGCAGCAAAGTCCATGTCCATGAAGTAGGAAGTTGCACTCGAGTCCAGTAGCACCAGAGCCTTGAGTCCTGATTGTCCGGTGAAAGAAAGGAGACATGGGACGCAGAAGTTGCGGGAATTGGTGGTGGCTTTGATGAAAGGTAGTGAGGAGCTTGATAAAGAAGAAAAGTGATTTTTATTCAGGGAGTCCAAATAAACAGCTCCTACTCTGTTTGGACAGGGTCGTTTCCCGACTGCAACAGAGGTGGACTTTGACGCAGAGTGAACTCGAGTAGTTGGGGAGGCTTCTTGGGACACATAGTTGCTTTGTGATTAGGATCAGCCAGTAGAGGCAAAGATTATGAGATATTCGACGTTGCTTCTCAGCAAGACTCAACTTCCCTCTGATGAGTCGGGGAGTACCAGAAATATCCATCAAGACCGGACCAGTAGGTTCAGGAGTATGCCCTGAAGACTCAAGCTGGGATTCCTGAGTCTGGGATGGGAAAACGGCGATGCAGCGACTTTCCTGACGACGTTCAAAGAGACGATTGTCGCATCGAATAGCTTTGTTGATGGCGTCCAACAGGTTTGTGGGATCCTCCATGGTGAGCAACAAATCCTTGACACCATTGTTGAGGCCGAAATGAAATTGATCAATCAGGGCCCACTCATCCCACTAAGTGTCCAAGGCAAGGAGTTGAAACTCTGCAGCATAGATCCAGGCAAGACGAGACCCCTGAGAGAGATGTCTCATCTTTGTGGTGGCAGCCTGAACCCGATCCATATCACCAAAACATGCTTCGAGCTTCTCTTTGAACAATTGAAGATCCATCAGCTCCGGAACCACGATCCCTTTCATGCTCTTCTCCAGGAGAGGAGAAAACCATGACAAAATTGCACCTTCGAGCAACATCCCAATCGCACCGATTTGAGACTTGGGAGTGGGGTACCACCGATGTTTAAGTGCGAAGATCAGCTCCATCTGGTTCAGGAATCCACGAAGCTCTGAATGCTTGCCTAAAAATTTTGCCGGGAAACTCACCTTCGGTTCAGGAACTTTGCTGGATCCTTGAGCTGAAAGTGAAGCAAGCTCTTGCTGCATGCGAAGAAGGGTTGCCTTCAGCTCGGTATTCTCAGACTGGATTTTTGCAAGGACTTCGGCAAAGAAATCAGGATGGCTTGGAGACTCCATTGGCAAAGAAGAAAGAAAGAAAAGGGAAAAAAGGCAAAGGCAGTCAAACAATCAAAATGAGCTAAAGAAAAAAATGAAAAAACACAATTTGAATCAAACTGTCAAGACCCCCAACAAGATCAACAATCTGAATCAACGCCAGTCTAAGGCCTCTTCTTCGTTTTCACTAGCTTTTCTCTTTGTCTTTTGCATTTTCCATAGAGAAATGGAACAAGGCTAACCTATATATACTATAGGTTGATGAAGCTCCACCACTCTTGGATTGAGGACGGCCTAAATATAGTTGAGGTTGAGGAGGCGCCACATCATCATTAGGAATGTGGCTCAAGACTCAGGAATTGTATGGGAAATCGAGAGTCAAAAATAGGGAAGTGTCTAGAGAGTCAAGAATAGAGAAGTGTCTCGAGAATCAAGAATGTGGTTTGCAAGTCAAGAATCCGGTGAGAGTCAGGAATGTGGCAAGAATTGAGGGATTCCTGATAATAGCTTTCATTAGTCACACTAGCATTTCCTGGCCAAATTAGTTCTATTGAAGTCCTAATATCCTTTTGAACTTCACTAAACCCCCTGTAGTGCATGTGATCATGGAATGAAATTTGGATATACTGTCACCATAGATCCTTGGAACCTTGGGAATGGGGATAACATAACCACTAAAGGCTCTCTTATCAAGCAATTGCCCTTTTTCCAGTTGGCTTAAGGGGAGAGAGATAGGGTGCGCTACATGTGGTATCAAAGCAAATGGCACGGATTTTATTCCTATTGATTAATGGCTACTTAAAAATATAATATGCCCTTGAGCAAAGTATATTCCTACCCCTAAATTTGAAATCATATGTATTGGGCATTCATGCGTACGTCCTTCTTCTTGTGTGGAGTATCCACAGACAAAGGTACGGGTGGATGATTAGTTATTTCACATGGAATAGCTGGTCTGCACAATGAAAGGACTTGTCCTAGTCTCGAACCCCATCTTGAACTCCATCTCAAACTCCATCTCGACTATGTATCACAACACTTGCTATGCATCAGTCCTTCTTGTATCCTTTTTTAGATACTTATTCACCGATTTTTTTGTGCTCATTCCTTGAGCACTTTGTTCGAAATTCCACCCTCGCTTTTGACTTTTAGAGTCAGAGTTTTTGGTCTAAACATGTTATACTTGTTGGACTTCCATTTCGACCACTACCATATAGCACCTGTAAGCCACAAATTTTTCCTTTCCAATTTGCCAGCTTACTTTGTCTATCCGACAAACACTGCCTTGGCTTTAGCTAAGTTCCCTCGCCAAGGTTCCCACATATTGTACCAGCTCCTACTTGGTCCTATTTGGTTTCAACTACTTACTACACGAGCAACAGAGTGTTAGCCATCCATCCACGGATTCCCTAATCTCCCCCAATCCCCTTCCCTGGGTTAGACTGGACTTAAGGTTCAACTACACTCCCCACAGGCACAAGCAACCAAGCACACTAAGACTCTAGGTTCTTAACCTCCCTTGGCACAACAAAACTTGATCATAAGACCCTTTAAATCCCAAGCCTTGAATGCAACACTTGCTCTGGGATGCCAGGGCAAAACATCGTGGCCTAACGGCCCGGTATGGGTACCTTTACCCCCCCGCCCGCCCCCGCCCCCCCCCCCCCGGGAAAGGGAAGACCCAAGCCCCTAGGAAGGGCAAGGACCAATGAGCCATAAGGTACTCAAGTGGGGCACCACTCCACATGAGCCGGGAGCACCGCAATCGGTTTCCCTTCCGGGAGTGGGAGTTTCTCTTGAGCACTTCCTTGGGTGACCCCTCTAGCACCACTTGAGTCCATGCTCACTCCTACCCAAGGCCCCTCAGCCCCAGTTTCAACCGCAAGTCAGTTTTGAAGCACCACTGGAGAGTTCCTTCAAGACTGATTCCTGGACTTCACTATCCCTACTATACTTTTCGAACCCCTTGCAGCCCCCGCCCTCCCTAGGAGACACATGCTTTGGGCTTTCACCCCTCGACCTGTATTAGTACTCGAACTCGGTCTCGAACTCGATCTCAGACTTGATTTTGGACCCGACTTTGGACTCGGTCTTGGACTCGATCTCAGACTTGACCTCGGACTCGACCTCAGACTCCGTCTCGGACCCGATCTCAGATCTCGGACTCTGTCTCGAATTCGGTCTCGGAATCGGCCTCAGACTCAATCCCAGACTCTATCTGGAACTCAGTCTCAAAGTCGGTCTTGGACTCGATCTCAGACTCGGTCCCATCCGATGAACTCTTTATCATTTCGGTCGTGCTTTCGGGGATCTTTTAGCCTACAACACCGTGGGGAGTTGGTTCCTTACAGCACCCTTTTGGCTCCACTTTGGGGTTTAGGGATTTATGTCTCATAGATGGAAGGTAATTAGGGTTCTTTGGCTGATGGGCTGGGATCTTGAGGAACATTAGAAG